CTAGTTGCATTTGCCTCAGAAAATAGTATGAGGTCATTTGCAAATAGTAGATGGGAAATGGGAGGGCCTGTTTGGCTAAGTTTGATAGGTTTCCATTGACAAATGTCTACCGCATGGTCAATGCTTCTGGTAATTGATTGCATACAGATGATGTAGAGGTAGGGTTATAGTGGGTCTCCTTGACGTATACCTCGAGAGGGTGCAAAATACTCTGTTCGTTGGCCATTGGCTATTATAGAAGTATAAGATGTTGAGATGCAGTTCATAATTAGGGTAATCAGTTTGGCAGGAAAGTTTAAGGCATGTAGGGAATTTCAAATGAATGACTATTCCAGGCGATCAAACGCTTTTTCTAGGTCCAATTTAAGCATCATTTCCCTTTACCACCGTAGTTCTTTTTGAAAGAGTGGATTGCTTCTTGAACTATAATAGTATTATCAATGGCTTGTCGACCAGGAAGGAAACTGCACTAAGTAGGGCTGATAATTTTGTTAAGGAACGGCTGTATCCTATTGACTATTATTTTTATGATTGTCTTGTAGATTGTATTACAAAGACTGATAGGTCGATAATGGGTGATGCATTGTGGGTGGGTTTTTTATTTTAGGGATGAGGGAAACATAAGTCTTGTTTATTTCAGGGTCAGTTGTGAGGGTTTGGAAAGCTTGTGAGCAGATGTTAACGATCGAGGGATATGTGTCCGCCCAATATTTTTGGAAAAAGATCGGTTGAATACCATCTGGGCCGGGTGTCTTGAGTGTCTTAAAAGAATTGATAGTTTTGTGAATTTCGAGTGTATTTAGATCTCTACTAAGGAACTCTCTATCACTGTCATTGAGAATAATGAGAGTGCAAGGGTTATGGGTAATATGTTTAGAACAAGAGGATAATTCAATGGTGTTTTGTTTTTTTTTCCTGAATCCACTAGGCATTGTGCCTAGGGATGATTTCCATTAATGTAAAATAAAGTACAACAAAAGTGGAGGGGGACCTGAACCTTACCTCCACAACAAATATGAAAATGCATTTGGTTATCCACATATGATAGCCAAATGACACTTGATCACTGTGACAAGTTAGACCTATGAAGGTAAACCAATTGTCTATCCAATAGTGATAGGCAATTGATTCTACAAAATACAATTGAAGTAAGCCTAGGTCAACTATACAAAAAAGCATAAATGATCCTAAAATTACTAATCTAAAGAGTTGGAAGTTAGATTTCCATAGGCAACAAATTCTACATTTAATGTACATGTAGAAGTGCCCTAACAAGAATGGTACATAACCAATACAATTGGTATTAACTATCTTCCACTTTGCTTTGGCATAAGGCAAGTGGAAGATAGGTGACAAAAAGAGTACAAGGAAGGCTGCACAAGATTGCTGCTGTCTGATGAAACTGACAGAAAAGAGTGAGCAGATAGGAGGACCAAGTCTTGCACCAGTTATCCAGGTAAGAGGTTTGAACTGGATGTCTTGAAATGAGTAAGCCACATAAATGGTAATGTGCTGTTCCTGCAAATGTCTCCTGAACTGCAGCTGATTCTGGAAAGTTGTCTGAACCTGCATGATTAGGCTCAATTGGAGTTGACTACGGATGCATTGCCTATGACAAAGCTGCTGGCTGAGAGTGACTATCCAGTGGGAGTTTTGATTTACTTGGTGCACTCTCAGCAGAATGAGCATCTTGGATGATAATACCACTGTCTGAGGGCGTAACAAATGATCAAAACTGCTCCATGTCCCTGCAAAAAGAGCAAACAAGTCAGTAAAAATGGGGCTCAATCTCCAGGTTCTTGTGGCTTCTGGAGATGAGTCTGGGGAAAGGGGAGCAATTGTGATCCCTATTCTATACATAGAAATTGAGTGCAGGTTCTTGTGTTGACTGCACTCAATTGTATAGAGGCTCATGTTGATGGAAGAGTGGTGACTGCATGTATGGAGAAAACTGTAGCCCTGATGAAAACTAGTTGGATGGTGCAGGGCTGTGAGTTGAGGGTGGAGTTTGGATGGAAGAGATGAACTGGTATTGGTGGCTTCAGCTGGTAAGGGAGCTCCTACAGGTTTTTCAATTTTTGCAGTAGAAAGTACTAATTTTTGTACATCTTGCTGCAACTGTTTAGTTGGCTTTCTGTAGGGTTGAAGGGTGTGTGTGAGTTGGTTGGGTTTTTTGATTTGGGAAAAGGATTCAGGTGAGGATAAGGTGTTGCAGCAGCATATAGCATCAGACTGGGGATGTCCTGCATAATTTGCAGGTTCTGTAGGTTTGAAAACTAATTTCTGCCAGTTTTGTTGCATCTGATTGGTACTGTTTCTGTGGGGCGATATTGGTATGATAGTTGGTATGGTTTTGTGGATTGAGGGTGGGATTGAGGGCAGTAGAGTGAGCATCTGCAGACTACAGGAACTGGATGGTTTCCTGTAGTTTTTGTGATTTCTGCAGAAACAGAGTTCTGCAGTTTTTGATGCTTCTGTGGGTTGGTGGTTTTGTGAGGTTGTGTGAGTGGTTTGTTGTGTGCTTTAGACCTGAAACCTCTCCCCTATAAACTGTAGTATTCCTTTGTTGTATTTTCAGGAGGATGAACCAATAGGTTAATACCACACCCTGAAGCAACAATAAAGAAACATGCAGTGCATAGGGATCAAGAACCTGCAAAAGAACAAATAAAGTTAGTAAAAAAACTCCTGGTGATGGTTGTGCTGATCTGATTGTTGGTGGCTTCTGGAGTCCCTTTTCTCTCTTAATCATGATCTATCATAGGCAGAAGGAGGATCAAAGGAGGAGATGAGGAGGAAAAGAGATCCTGGTGGTCTGTTTGTGCCTGAAGGCAGGGGCGTCCTGTTGGTCCAGGTATATCTGACCTCTGATGTGTGTTAGGAGTTGCATTTGGTTGTGGTAATGAGTTAGGGAGGTGAGTTCATGGCTGAGCTTTGAGAGTGAGTCTGCTGGGCAATTAGCTTCCCTGAAGGCATGAGAGGAAGTGATATCTTCACAATGATTGCACAGCTCCTTGATTTTCTGAATGTGCATACATAGGGACCAAGGAGGATCAGATTGCCTAGACAGCCAGAAGGAGTTTGGAATCAGCTTCAAGATGGATTTTTGAGAATCCATTTTCAATACACCATTTGATACCAAGGTAAGCTGCCTCTGTTTCTGCCTGATTATTGGTACCATCACCTAGTGGACTTGCCATTGCTTGGATGAATTGGCCCTCATGGTCTCTTATGATGATACCTGCTCCTATTTTCCCATGGTTCCCAAGTGCACTACCATCTGAATTCACTATAACATAACCAGGTATTGGTTTCAGCCACACCACTTGCTTTACTTCTGTGTGTTGCTTAAGGCTTTCAACAATTTGGTAGGTAAAGGCCCAGTTGGTGGCCATTTGACATTGGCATAGGAAGATTTGAGGAGGAGGAGCATATCAGATGTGATGGAAAATATGGTTCTTGTGACTGCTGAAGTTTTGCCTCCGTATTTTACAGCATATCTGTTCTTCCAAAGATTCCAACAAATAATGATTGGCATGGTATCAAGGAGGTGTTTCTACACCACATTCTTCCTTGATTGAAGCCACCAGTTCATGAGAGTGGCTCTGAGGGATTGAATTGTGGTTTGAATGCCAGCAACTGCATTGAAATGTTTCCAAATGATTCTTGCAAAATGACCAAAACTGAATATGTGCTCAACAGTTTCAGCTACAGGTCTAGTACAACAGACACACCTATTGACAGTAGGAGGACCAAATTTTGCCACTCTATCATCAGTAGGTAATTTGTTCCTTAGGGCTCTCTAAAGGCAGAAAGACCATTTGAATGGGATTTGCTTGTGCCAGACCATCTTGTTGGTTAAGAGGACCTACCTTTTTTCTCTGATCACAGACCAGGCACTACCACAGGTAAAATTGCCAGAGCTGGTTGAATTCGAAATTGCCTTATCAGGGATCTGGGGCTTGAAATGAATCTGGGTTTGGAGAATGAGGGGTATCATTTGAACTGGAGCTGTAAGGTTTAATTTCTGGACATTCCAGTGGCCATCACACCAGAATTCAGAGACTTTAACATTTCTAGGCCTTCCAGTACTAGTCCTGAAACTAGCTAGATGGCCAATACCCAACCAGTTGTCCCACCAGAAACTCGAATTACCTGAATGAAGTCTCCACGGAATGTGCATTTCAGCACCTTTTTGTTTTGCATCATTTTTCTCCATGTTTGAGATTGGCCAGAGTTCCATTTTTTGGATATGGGATGTGATCTCTTACAGTATTTGGCAAGTAGGAACTCATTCCATAAGGTTTGCTTTGTTCTGAACCACCACCATTGCTTGTATTCCATAGCTTTACATACATCTTTAGTGGATCTCAGTCCAATACCACCCTCTTCCTTTGGAAAAGTTAGTTTTTGCCATGAAGCCCAATGATACTTGTTCCTATCCTTCTCCATTCCCCAGAAAAAATTGGCTGCAAGCTTTTCAATTTGTCTGAGTATAGTTTTAGGAGGTGATACTGCAGACATGAGATGAATTGGGAGGTATTGTAGTACATGCTTGATCAGGGTCATTCTTCCAGCATAGGATAAGAGCCTTCCATGCCAGCCTCTGATCCTGCTGGCTACTTTGGAGATGAGGGAATTAAAGTGGACAATCTTTTTTCTGCCTGTGTAGAGAGGGCAGCCTAGGTAGGTGATGGGGGATTCCTTCCAAGTGTAACCTGTGATTTGCTGAATTCTTTTGTTTGTATAGTGGAACACTGAAGGAGCAGTCATGAAGTGGCTTTTATTTTTGTTAACTTGTTGCCCAGAAATCTGTTCATACTTCTGCAAGATAGCAGCCATGATCTTTAGCAATGAGGTTCTGCATCCTGAAGTGAAGATGATCACATTATCTACAAAACTCAGATGTGTGATTTGAGGTCCTCTCTTTTCCATATAGAAGACATTGAAAAACTGGTCATGAGAGAGGTTGTTTAGCATTCTTGAGAGGAGTTCTGCTCCTATGATAAACAGAGAAGGGGCCAAAGGATCCTCCTGCTTGAGACCTCTGGTGGAGTGAAAGAGGCCACATCTGTTGCCATTAACAATGATAGAGTACCAGTTATAGACAATGTCCTCCACACCATGTCAATGATTTTTTCACTAAAGTCCAATCTTCTCATCATGATGCAAGTGAATGACCAAGAGACCCTATCATATGCCTTCGCCATGTCCAATTTGATCACAATATTGGCTCCTATATTAGGCTTTTTGATACCCTGAACTATCTCCTGAGCCAACATTATGTTTTCTGAGATGCTTCTGCCTTTTACAAAGCCTGTTTGATTGGAACTGATGATTTTAGGTAAAATGAGAGCAATTCCGGAGCAGAGGATTTTGGAAATGATTTTGTTCAAGAAATTGCTCAGACTTATAGGTCTAAATTCAAAAAGAGTGTTTGGGAATTCCACTTTAGGAAGAAGCACAAGGCAGGCTTGGATCATATATTTGGGCATAGTCTGACCACAAAAGAAGGCCAACACCACCTTGTATAGATCATGTTTGATGATATCCCAGCAATGTTGGAAAAATTTCCCATTGAAACCATCAGGACCAGCAGCACTGGTGGGGCTCATTGAGAAGACAGTGGTTCTGAGTTCCTCCATTGTAGGGTCTTTGTTTAGGTTGTCATTATCCTCCTCAGTAACCAGTGATGGAATGCAAGACAAGAGGTCCTCCCTAATGACTCCTCCAGGATCTGAGAAAATGTTCTGAAAATGATTGCATACAGCTTCACCAATGGACTCATCACCATATATCCAATCTCCCTCATCATCTTAGATTTTGTGAATATACAGCTTTCTCCTTCTACCCTTGATTAGACTGTGAATGTATTTGGAATTTGCATCACCATCCTTGAACCATTGAAGTTGTGTTTTCTGCTTCAAAACAGCTTCCTCCACTTTCAAGTGTTTGATATACTAGGATGTGAGCTCATGTGCTTTTATTCAATCTGCTTCCAAGTTGATTGGGCCCAAGTTTCCTCTGCCTTTCTGACCTTTTCTTTATATTCTTTTGCTTTGAGAAAAATGTCCCCATACTGTTGCCTAGACCATTTATACAAAGCAGAACACAAGGCTTTAAGTTTCTGATGGAATACCCACATAGGATTGCCACTGACTTGAATGTTCCAGACCTCTTGAACCAGGGGAAGAAAGGAATCATTTTCAGTCCAGCAGTTTAAGAACTTAAAGTATTTGATGGAGTTATCAGTTCTGACATTCAGCTTCATAAGAAGGGGAGAGTGATCAGAGCCTGCAGATGCCAAATGGGTGATGGTTGTTGCAGGATTGGATGCAAGCCAACTATCATTGACTAAACCTCTGTGAAGTCTTTTCCAAACAATTGAACAAGGGCCTCTACCATTAGACCATGTGCACCTAGGTCCATAGTAGCCTAAATCAGTGAGTCCACAGTCTTCAATCATGCTAATGAATTCCAAACTTTTGTTGATCTGATATGGAATGCACCCAATCTTCTCCTCAATGGATGTTATGACATTAAAGTCCCCAATGACACACCAAGGGGTTGAGGTTGCCAGGGCTTTAGTTCTCAAGGTATCCCAAAGAGGTCTCCTCAGAGCAATTTTGCATTTGGCATAGATAATAGTGAGATGGAAAGGATCTGCAGCTTCAACATGTCCGAGCTTCACTGTGAGCTGTTGTTCATCATGGTCAATGACAGTACCATCACATTCCTGGTCCCAGAAGACCCATATTTGATTATTGACATTTGAGGCTGAGTGTTGCATGGACATTTGGATTTTATAGTGGTTGATGTGGGAAGTATCCAGGAAAGGTTCCAAGACAACTATGAAAGAAATTTTGTGGATTTATTTTAGAGTTCTTAGTCTCTCCATGGCACCAGAGGTTTTAATACCTCTAACATTCCATGTAAGTATACTAATCATTAAAACAAGGATGGTTTTTTGGAACTGGATGGTGCAGGGGTATTCCCAACTGCTTTGCTTCTGGTGATTCTTGGTGAAGGGTTAAAGGTTCTGGGAGAGAGGCCTTGGGTATCAATGACATCAGAGTGTTGGTAGGCACCATTAACTGCCTCAACAAGCAAGTCATAGTGCTGCTCATCATCCTCAGGGACATCACTGATTTCATTCTCTTCTTCAATACTTCCACTCATTTCATCTTCTGAGAGGAGGGGCCTATATTCATCCAATTCTGGGGAAGAATTGTTCAGTGGACACTCTTCAATAGGAGTAGATGCCATAACATTGATTAAGGCATCTTCATGTTGGATAGTAGAACCATTTCCTTTTTTATTTTGTTGATCAGCAGTATCTAGTAATGGCTGGGACAAAGAGGGGTCTGGATCAGGATCTTTGTAACCTTGTGATCTATCTGCAGAGTTCAAAGCAATTTTCCTTCCACTTGTGGCTGTAGGGCTTTGATGACCATAAGGAACAATTGGATATGCAGAAGGTTCATTGATGCTGATCCCTTTGTTCTGTTTTCTCATAGCCTGCCTTTTCTTTTGGCTAGGATTGTTTTTGGATTTTGGTGTCTGAAGGGTGAAGTCTGCTACAATTTGAGCCTTTCCTTTAGCCAAACTTCTCAAATTAGCATCCTGATACTGAAAGAGTTCATCATCTGAGCTTGAACTTTCACAGGTGGCATGATTATGGATCTGTGGATCAGTGGAATTGGTATTTGCAGGGACTGTGACAGATTGAACTGTGGTGGCAGGAGTTGTGAGGTCTTCCCTATGGTCACTCAAATGTGCACTAGCACACTCATGCAAAACATGAGGAATCCCCTCCCCATTTGGAACCCCTTCCTGTCTAGATTTAGGTCTCTCCAGACAAATCTCCTTATCTCCTTCAACCAAAGCAACAACAGAAACATATAAAGATTGGGGAGCAGGGGGGATGGGCTGATTCTGGGCACCAGAATCTTCACTCCTCTCCAGTTGAGCTGGAGGATTGACAGAAGTCATACCTGATTTATTTGCTGTCTGATTCTATTGCCCTGAATTAGCTTTTGGCCGATATACTTGTTGTTGTTTTTTGGTGTTTTGAGAATTGCCTATGAAATTTTTTCTTCTCTGAGTTTGCCAATTATCATTTGGGTGCTCATTGGTCTTGTCTTGGTGTTCTGCATCTTTTTGGTGTTGCAGTACTTGTTGGTTTTCCTTTGGTTCCTGTACCTGACTGTTATTTGTTGGTCCTTGAATACCTTTGGATGTGCTTGCAACTTCTTTGGCTGGGCCTTTCTGATTACCTGCTTTGATTTCTTCCTCCTTCTTCTTCTTTTTTTCTTCATCCATCAGTCTAACTTCACAAATGAATTCTGAATGACCAATGTGTCTGCAATAAATGCAATAAGCAGGTACATTGTCATACTGGACCTCTAGCCATTCTCCATCACCATTCTCATCTTGTTCTTCATCATAGCCAAGACAAACAAGCCTTTGTTTTATGAGGTCAATCTGAATTTTGACCTTGGCTACACTGCCTCTTGTCTTCTGAAATGATGTTAGATCAAGATACAGGGCTTTGCCAATAGGGGATAACAGAGGGGTGAGGATCTCCATATAATACAAGTGCCAGGGGAGTTCAGGAATAACCACCCATGTAGGTACAATAGGTGAGTCCTCATTGGGTTTGAATGCAGGAGTCCAAGCTTCCAATTTCATCATTTGGCCCTGGATATACATCTGTTGTTTGGGCTGATTCTGGGCACCAGAATCATTGTCCAAATCTATGTAGACTGTCCTTGCATTGAAGTGTGCAATCTTGACACCTCCTCTTACCTTTGTTTGGGCGATGAAGCTCTTCTTAATAACTTCCATTCTAGGCATTATGTTGGAGAATTTGCCCACACAGGTAAATTTGCATCTGTTTGCAAATCTAACCATATAATCCTCCTTTTTGAAAACAACTACAGACTGGCCTTCCTTGGTGGTGATTTTTGGAGAGGTAAAGGATATTGGCTGGATTTCAGACTCATGTCTGGCCCTGAGTCTGTTGACAAAAGAATGAGTGACTGTAGGAGGTGTAGGTGGTGTGTTGAGTACAGGTTTGTTTTTGGTGGAGTTATTGTTTGGATTAGTAGGAGGGTTGATATCAGATGGGGCCTGTTTGTTAGGTTGAACAGGTAGTGCAGCATTTTTGAGAGGGGGTGTGTGCGCTTTTTTGGGATTGTTTGGTCTGTCAAAGTTGGATGATATCTTGATTGGTGCTTTGTTATTTGGGTTTGGAGTTGGGTTAGGTTGGGTGTGAGCTTGTTGAGTTGGTGGAACTACATCATTGGCATGCAGTTGCCCTTTTGAAAGGTGCTCAATTATGGGCACAGCCTGAGCATCAATTGCAGGAACTGCAGGGGATCCAGAGTGGGGATGGGGAGGAATTGGATTTTGTAGAGAAGGGGTGGGCCCAGCCTCTTTAGCAGCAGGCACCTTATTACATTGGCTTTGGTTTACTTGGTTTACCACAGCTCCTTGCCTAGTCAACTGAGCAATAACTGGAGGATTCAAAAAACCAGGGGAATTGATTTCTTGGGTGGATTGACTGGAAACTTGGCAGATATTTTCCTTAAGCACAAGAGAATGATCTCCAATAAAAGTTGTAGTTGGAATTAGGCTAGAAGGGGGATTGAAACTTGGTCGAACACTTGTGAATGAACAGTGCGCGGGAACACCAAATTTAAAATTCGAAGAGATTGGATCACTTACAATTATGTTTGAAGGGCTTGAAACAATCTCTTGAGGTGCAGAAAACAGTTGGCATTGGTTTTGGTCCAATTGGTTCATCGGAGCACCATGTCCGGCCAACTCACTCTCACCTGAGTTCAGCATTTGGTCGTGATGGTCGATTGCATTGGTGAAATGACTTGGAACTTTGTAGACATGATCCTTGGGAGCCATTGAAGGTATTCCAGTGCTTAAATTGCTCCCAATTAGGCCAGAAGTGGGAGTGACATTTCGTCAACCACTTTCAGAAAAATAGAGAACTGGGATACCTTTTTGGATATTCGACACAATTGGCTCGTGTAATATTTGGTTTAATGGATCCTGCATGATCTCCTGAGGTGAGGGAGTAGATTGGCATTGGTTTTGAGCCATTTGGTTCACCGGAACCCCATGGCCGGCCAGTTGGTTTGGCTCAGCAGTCGTCAGAAGATCAGTACGCTCAATTCCTTGGATGGAAAGAGTTGAAACATGGCAGATATGTTCTATAGGTGTTGTTGAAGAGTTTCCAATAGCTGGTTTGCTCCCAATTTGCCCAGAAATGAGGTTGGAATTTTGTCGAACAGTTTGGACTTGCACAGTGGGAGCTTATAAATCAAATTCGACTGAATTGGTTGATACCCAGGTGAAATTGGATGTGCAATCACATTCTCCTGATCGAGAGGAACATTTTTGTATCTTTGGTTTTCCAATTGGGCCGCTGGAACAATCTGCATGTTCAGTTGTTGCTCGCCGGAAAACTTCAGTTGGTCGTTGATGGAGATTCCGACGGTGGAATTGCCTGAAAATTGGTGGGGAGGTGCGTCTTGATGTGGGGAACAATCTCCACGATTCAGAATTAGAAGATGAAGGCCAGAATTTGCTTAGGAAATTTTTGAAACTCCTTGGCGATTTTTTTTAACAGTGGTCCCTTCAGAAATTTGAAGATCTGTTCTTGCTGAGGAATTATTTAGGGATGAGGTTTATTGGAGGTGGTGCGCAATTGAATTCCGCGTCGATTGGTTGTGGTCCGGTGGTTTTCCACCGGTGGACGGCGGCGCTGTGGCCATATTGCCACTGGCACGGTACTGTAGCTCCAAATCGCCTTGTAGGGAAAGGATTTGTGAAAAAGGTAGAGGATTGATACACAATATTGAATATACAAGAACAATCTCTATGCTTTCTAACATATTCTCTTGAGTTCATTACTTATATTTATTGATTATATTCATAGTGTTCTATTTATTGTTCTTCATTTATTGCTCATTATTGATCATAAAGAGCCACCATCGTAGCTCTCATAACTGTTACTCCTCCCTCGATTGCCCTGAGCCGGGCATTCGACTCGACCTCGAGGCCCCATATACGTCAGCTCAAGGCCCTCGATTTCTGACCATTCAGTTTGGTTATTACATTATCTACAAGTTTTTATTTTCTAGTCTTTCACTTAGCATCTATTGCCTAACAACTAGCATAACAATAGATCGCATATTTTTGGAACCACAAAATCAAAATATAATTGTAATTACCATTTTCAAGGTAAATAGTTTGTCGCCCACTGTGGGGCTACAAATAATAGTAATTTTTTTCTTGTTGGTTCACTCCATAACGCAAGTTACCTTTCACACTTTTTCTTTTCCAAGATCTTTGATTTAAGGTCAAAATGTCTAAATCAGTAAGCGCACCTGAAAACAACAATATTGAGGATCATAGCGAGAATGGTGTGGATGTTCTAGGTGTTGGTGTACCACCACGAAAACCTTAAAATGCACCAGAACCAATTCCGATGGACGTGGTCTCGTGCAACGCTCAACACGTCAAAATAAGCTCCCACACCAACAGGAGGATATACCAGAAAGATCAACAAGAAGCTCAAAAAATCCTAGATCAGGAAGAACAAGGGGTTAGCCTTCACATCATCTTCGAAATGTTACAAGCACAACAGCTGGTGATTGCTCAGCTGCAAAGCCACCAAAAGACTCCAAGCACGGTAGCACCGGAAACGGCTCCCCGAGCCGAACAGGTACCAGAAAGATCAAGCAACAACGGGTCGGCAACCGATCCCGCCATCAT